AGCTATTTAACATATGCATTACCTCACATACTTATCTTCTTTGTAGTGAGAACACTTAAAATCTACCGTTAGCAATTTTCAAATATACAATACATTATTAACTATAGTTACCATATTGTACAATAGATCTCTTGAACTTATTTCTCCTAGCTGAAATTTTGTATTCATTGACCAGCATCTCCTTGGTACTTCCTCTTTCCCCCATCCAGCCCTTGGTAACCACCATTCTACTCTCTGCTTCTATGAGTTTAACTTTTTTCAATTCCACGTATATGTGAGATCATGTAGTATTTGTTTTTCTGTTCCTGACTTATTTCACTTAACATAATGTCCCCCAGTTACTTCCATGTTGTCACAATTGACAGGATTTCCTTTATTTTTAAGGCTGGATCATACTCTATTGTGTATATGTATCACATTTTCTTTATCTACTCATCTGTTGCTTTCATAGCTTGGCTATTGTAAATAACACTGTAATGAACATGGGAGTGCGGATATCTCTTCAACATACTGATCTAATTTCCTTTGGATAGATACACAGTAGTGGGATTGCTGGATCATATGGTAGTTCTATTTTTAATAGTTTGGGGAGCCGCCATACTGTTTTGCATAATGGCTGTACTAATTTACATTCCAAATGGGAAAAAGAATAAAATGGGAGGAAGAATCATATTTTCAACAAGTGGTTCTGGAAGAATTGGATATCCACATGCAAAATAATAAATTCAGACCACTACCTCATACCATATATAAAAATTAACTCAAAATGGATCAAGGATCTATATGTAATAGCTAAAACTATAAAACTCTTAGAAGGAAACGTCGGTATAAATTTTATGGCTTTTGGTTAGGCAACAGTTTCTTAAATTTGACATGAAAGAAATTAACCAAAGAAAAAATAGACAAATTGTACATCATCAAAAACAGAAAACAAAAAAAACCTTTTGTATGGCAAAATACGCTATTGAGAAAATGAAAAGATAATCCCCATAATGAAAGAAAAAAATTACAAACCATGTCTGATAGGGATCTAGCATCCAGAATATATAAAGAACTCTTAGAACCCAATAATGAAAAAGACAACCCAATTGAAAAATTGGTAAAGGCTTTGAATAAACACTTCTTTAAAGAAAATGGCCAGTAAACACATGGAAAGATGCTCGACATCATTAGTTATTAGAGAAATGCAAATCAAAACCACAGTGAGATACCAGTTATATCCACTACAATATCTATAATTTTTTTAAAAAGGAAAATAATGACTATTGGCAAGAATGTGGAGAAATTGGAACCCTCATATGTTGCTGGTGGGAATGTAAAATAGTTCAGCTGCCTTGGTAAACAGTTTGTTAATTCCTTAAAAAATTAGACATAGAGTTTGCCATATGACCCAGCAATTTCATTCTTATGTGTATATACTCAAGAAAATTGAAAGCATATGTTCACGCAAAAACCTGTTCACAGGTTCACAGCAGCGTTGTTCATAGTAGCCAAAAAGTGGAAATAACCTAATTTTTCAGCTGATGAATAGACAAGCAAAATGTAGCATATCTACACAATAAAATATTATTCAGAAATAAAAAGGAAGCCAGTCACAAAAGCCACGTATTTTATCATTCCATTTATGTGAAATGTCCAGAATAGGCAAATCCCAGAACAGAGGAAGTAGATTAAGTGGTTTTCAGAAGCTGGGGAGAGGGGAGAATGGGGAGTGACTGCTTCCCAGTGTGGTGCTTCTTTTTGGGGTGATGAAAATATTCTGGAATTAGATAGTGGAAAGAGTTGTGCAACCATATGACTGTGCTAAAAACCGATGAATTATAACCTCTAAAATGATGAATTTTATGGTATGTGAATTATATCTTGGTTTTAAAAACAGCTTTATTGGAAGATTCTTAGTGTCAGGATAATTTTAGTAAATAAAGTATATAGATATTGAGGGAACTTAGTCACATGCATACTCCAGATCCCGGGGGTTGGGGGTGTGTTTCTGGAAAATGTAGTCCAGCTACAACTCTGTCATTCTGGAGGATAGGGGTATGGGTTTTGGAAGACAGCTAGCAACCACCAGTGGCAGTGCTGGAATTGGGACTTAGGTCTTTGTGTCTTGATCCAATTTCTCTTCACCATACCATCTGTCTCTCGTAGGAGACTCATTTCATAAGTGTAATCAATCAAGCTGCTGAGAATAGGCAATTTTTTTTCTTTTCTTTCTTTTTTCTTTTCTCTCTTTTTTTTTTTTTTTTTTTGAGACAGAGTCTCACTCTGTCGCCCACCCTGGAGTGCAGTGGCTTGATCTCGGCTCACTACAACCTCTGCCTGCCGGGTTCAAGCGATTCTCCTGCTTCAGCCTCCCGAGTAGCTGGGACTACAGGCATGTGCCATCATGTCTGGCTAATTTTTTGTATTTTTAGTAGAGACGGAGTTTCACCGTGTTAGCCAGGCTGGTCTCCATCTCCTGACCTCGTGATCCGCCCACCTTGGCCTCCCAAAGTGCTGGGATTACAGGTGTGAACCATTGTGCCCAACTGAATAGGCATATTTTAAAAACTGAAATACACTTGTCTGCTAACAGTGGACTGAGTAATCTAGAAAATGACTAAGCATTTATTCCTTTTATGTGTAAAGATTGCCCTTTTTAGGAAAGGATGCATGGATGTGTAAATATAGGTATGGTTTTTAAAGGGGAAGGGGAAGTTCTAGAGATTTTCCAGGGAACTAGGATTGTACAACATCCCTTTAAGAAGTTTAGTGGGCAATAGCCTTCTGCATTTTTATGAACAAAGGTGTTCATTAGCCTTGACTGGCACCCACTGGTTTGGATAGATTCAGGTCCATGTTATTAGCATGGTACCATCTGTGTGTGGAGTGTACCGCACTGTGCCAGAGCCTGGAGCACACAAGAGTCTTAGTTATGCTCTTTCATGCTAATTTCCTGTAAGAGAGGCTACTAGACAGAACCGCTTTGTGCTCTTTTCTTTTCACTGCTAGCGAGGGTTAGGAATCCTACTTGCATTTAAAATTTTTTCAAATTTTGAAAATTCTAAGGGACTAATACATTTTACCTATTATACCAGGAAAAATGAATTATAGTGAGGAGATTAATGTTAGAATGGATATATGAAATAAATATATCTTGCAGATAATGCTGAAAATTGATATAGTTTAGAGACTGAAAACTCAAATGTTTATAGGGGCCATGGTCATTTTGAGGTGGCACCAATGTGCTTGCTTTGTGAGATTCTTACTTTAGAACATTTTTTTCCAGCTACTGTTGCTGTGGTCCTAGTGGTCTGGTTCCTGAATGAGAAGACATTGCTTTGTCTGCTCATAGCTAGAACCATCTCTTGCCTAAATGGTCTACCTAAGTCCGCTCCAGCCCCCTTGCAATCCCTTCCTCCTTTAGTAGTCTCAGTTATCTTTTGGAAATGTAAATCTCTTCACGTCACCCTTTAGTTTAAAAGCCTTTTGTGACCTCCATTTGCCTTTAGGATGCACATCAACACCTTCAACATGCGGTCTTCCAAGGTCTGGTCCCTGTGATTCTCACCAACTTCTCTTCCATTGCTTCCGACTTCCTGAGATCAGGCCCTCTTGGCCTTCCTTCAGTTCTTAGCCGACCTGACATCCTCCTCCCATGGCATATTGTCCTCTCTGGAAGGTTCTACCCTCTCTCTTTTTCCCATTCCTCTTCTTTTGGGCCAATCCTCACTCTATAGCTCAGCCCAATTGCCCCACCATATGAGCTTGTAACATCACACACCTCTCCTACTTAGCATTAGTACTGTTTAATGATGACATGCCTTTCTGTGATTCTTTGATGAAGGCCTGTCTCCCACAAAAGCTGATAAGCTCCATAGGGTGGGCTGTTTTTTTTTTTTTTCTGGGAGGGGTGCCCCCCATTCTCAGTATGTAACATATCCTGCAGGTTCTTATTAAATATTTATTGACTGACCACAATTTCTTCTTGCTTCCCTTCTGGAATTTGACGGCTGTGACTCATGTAAGTCATAACATCATCTATGACTTCCTTACTAGTCAGCCTTCCTCTATCTAAAGGTTCTACCTTTATCTGAGCTTTTTTGCTTTTATGGGAAAGTGTCTCGGCTTAGTCTTTTGGTGGCCATATGCACCATTCTTTTTCTTCCTCTGTGAAAACCCCAGCCCTACTCTAGGGCCATCTTATTCTCTGACTGAAATATTTGCTGCTCTGACCATCTCTGGGTTCTCCTCAGTGGCCCATTCATGAGCCCCTCCTCAGCACAACTCCAGGCTAAGAGCATGTGATTCATATGTGTCGGTAACAGCAGCAATAAAAGAGACTGATTTTTCAGTGATGATGTCAATAATCAAGGGTCCTGTGTGAAGTTCTTTAGTGTCTCTTAAACAAGAGCTAAATTCATTTGTCTCGTTGCTGCAATTTACCATCTGTTCTGCTACAATGAAGGAATTCCATTCATGAGAAATCTTACATTATCAAAAATCATGACATCAAAACAGTTGTTTGACTAGAAAAAAAGAATTAGGGACTGGATAATATCAGACTCAAAATAACAATGTTATTTTTCTTATAGAATTTTTTTCTAGTAAAAGTTTTTCTTAAAAAATATCTATGAAGGTATTAGCAAAATGTATCAATGAAAATAATCTAGTTTTGAACTACATATAGCATTTGCTCTGGAATAGTAGTTTTTGTTTCTCTTTATTGCCTACACTATCATTAGCAGAGAATCTTTTACACCACCCTATTTCCATTGTCACAATAATGATACACCAAGCCTACCAGACAAACCCACTGTTACAGACAACAGCTTCTCTCATGCTAAAGGGCTAGTTACAGATCTAGTATAATGTATTCCTAATACCAATTAAATTCCCTAATTTATCCAAATTGCTCCCCCAAAAAAACCCGAAAATGAAACTAAACCCTGTATTTTTCTCAGATCTAGGCAGTCTACATCAAACAGTAACATCAGTGTATGAATGTTTTCTTGAATCAGGTGATGCAGGCCCAGTGTGTCAAAACAGAAACTGAATTCTACCGCCGCAGTCGCAGTGAGATAGTGGATCAGCAAGGGCACACGATGGGGGCGCTGTATTGGCAGTTGAATGACATCTGGCAAGCTCCTTCCTGGGCTTCTCTTGGTGAGTGTTTCAGCGTTCTTTGTGTCAGTGAGAGAAAGCAACACTGTGGGGAGAGGGACTGAGAAAGCACAGAGCTAGAGGGATCAGATTAGCCCAGGCAGAACTATGACCCAAAGAGGTAATTCTTTAAAAAGCCCGCCTAGGAACTACCTCCACCCAGCTCACCTTAGTAGCCTTTCCATGAGCCTTAGGGTCAACCTCATTATGAGTTCTGTGCCGTGCAAAGTTGCAACAGCAGGCTAAGCATGGGATAGATTCCTATACAAAAGTCTCAGCCACATGTCTTGTTATTACTGCGTAGAATTTTGAATTTCTTTAAGAGGACATTCCGGGGCTAAAGAAGCGTGAACTTAAGCATCCCTTCTTCTGTGTTGGAGAATTCAGTCAGGTAGAAGTTTCGTCTGGTTATGTTAAAGTTTCCCTTTCTCTGATTCACCTTTAAGGACAAATGAAGATGTTCTTTAAGGACATAATGAAGATGTCTCTTAAGGCCATCTTTATTATGCCCTATTTAGCTCTTGGGGAAAAGATAGTAGAGGCAGAACCCCGAATGGGAAAGGTGACCAGTTGAAACAGTTCAACTAGCAACAGGTGAGATGACTGGCATGGAATCTGCAGTTTGAATTATCCTATCTATTCTGGTACATTTAAAAAAAATTAAGGAATAATAATGAGCCTTTGCCCTTCACTAGAGGTGACTTGAAACAAAGTTCAGTTAATAATGTAAAGAATAGTTTGGGGTCATGAGGCAAGGTCACAAAGTAGGAAGGCTGGGTAAGGTGTGTTTTTTTTTTCTTTTTTCTTTCTTTCTTTTTTTTTTTTCTTTTTTGAGATGGAGTCTTGTTCTGTCATCCGGGCTGGAGTGCAGGGGGTGAGGCTCTTAAACTGGCTGTGAATGCAGATCAAAAGAAATTCATTCCAAACATGTTTTCATTACTGCCAGATGGGTGACTCTTACAGAGAATTGGATTTCTAATCCGGTTTCTCTGACCAAACTCTTTATCAGCACCAACCAGATAAGAGAACATTGAATGAGAATCAGAGGTAGAATTGGGGGGAAAATCCTTCTAGGATACTGGAAAGGTAGACAAAGAGATACTGTTCAGAGACTCTTGGATACTGATCCTGCTTTCTGTCTGTAGATGAGGTTGTGGACTTCTGAAACTGAGTTTGATTCAAGAAATGGGAGAGCCCAATTTTTGTAAATATTCCTTTAAATGATTCCATGTAGATTATTCCTGAGTTCCTCAGGAAGTATAGGTCTGTGGGAAAAAAAAAAAAAAAAACACTCAAACTCCAAGTGCTTTTTTGTTTTGTTTTGTTTTTTTGTTGAGATGGTCTCACTCTGTTGCTGAAGTGGTGCAATCATGGCTCATTGTAGCCTCCACCCCACAGGCTCAAGCCTTCCTCTCACCTCAAGCTCCTGAGTACCTGGGTCTATAGCTGCACATCACCATGCCTGGCTCAGTTTTGTATTTTTTTTCTGGAGACAGGGTTTTGCCATGTTGCCCAGGCTGGTCTTGAACACCTGGTCTCAAGCAGTCTGCCTTCCTCAGCTTCCCAAAGTGTTGGGATTACAGACATAAGCCACTGCACCTGGCCTCAAAGTGCTTTTTTAATTCCCTCACTCCACGACAACAATCCACACAGAAGACTTCTGTGACCAGATGTATGGGAAACTTCCCCCACACACCAAGCAAGCAATCACTTCTGCAGTGGACACCACGCGAGTGCCCTCCAATTTAAGTCTGACGCTATATACCTACAGATTGTATCAGATTCCATAGGTTGAGAACTCAGTTCCACAAAGCTACCTTCCCCCTTTAGATAGCAGTCACAAGTCTGAGCCTCTAGAACTTCTGACTGACCAGCTTCAAGCTGAGGTTCCCATGACCCCCCCTTTGGGTTTAATTTGCTAGAATGGCTCACAGAACTCAAGGAAACATTCTGACTGCTGTATGACAAAGGATATTTTAAAAGACACAAATAAACAGCCATATGAAGAGATACATGGAGTGAAGTTTGGAAGGGTCCTGAGTGCTGGAACTTTATCCCTGTGAGGCTGGGGTGTGCCACCCTCCAGGCATGTGGATGAGGCGCGTTCCTCTTTCTGTCAGCCTTCACGTGGTCAGCTATCTGGAAGTTCTTTGAACTCTGTCCTCTTGGGTGTTATCGGGAGACTTCATTGGACAGCCATGATTGATAACCATGTAGATATGTGATTGGACAAAGTGGGTATGATCTAATACCATTAGACTGAGTGGGGAAACATAGCAAGGCCTGCCCATTGAGCTTCTTGGCCTCTGTGTGAAGCATTTCCTCCTCCAGGGTATGAGGCAGGACACCTTCTGAATGAGTGTCTTATGACCCACAATCAGATTAGAGTCCTGCCTTGGGCTGGTGAAAGGAGGGAAGGAGAAGATCAGAGAGGTAGATTCTGTTTTCTGAGGCCTGCTTTTGAGTCCTAACGTACCTCAACATTATAACAAGAGTCTGTAACAAGGGCTATGGTAGTTGTGAGCTAGGAACCTGTATTAGTCTGTTCTCATGCTACTGATAAAGACATGCCTGAGACTGGCAATTTATAAAGAAAAAGAGGTTTAATGAACTCACAGTTCCACATGGCTGGGAAGGCCTCACAATCATGGCAGAAGACGAAGGAAGAGCAAAGGGACTTCTTACATGGCAGTGGGGTAAGAGAGAACTTGTGCAGGGAAACTCCTTCGTTATAAAACCATCAGGTCTTGTGAGACTTATTCATTATCACAAGAACAGCATGGGAAAGACCTACGCCCATTGTTCAGTTACCTCCCCCCAGGTCCCTCCTACAGCACATGGGAAGTATGAGACCTACAGTTCAAGATGAGATTTGGGTGGGGACACAGCCAAACCATATCTAACTGTAGAAGAAAAATTTTATATATATATATATAGTATCACAGTAGGAAAACCCAAGTACCAGAGCTTGGCTGTTTTCTAAACCCTGGCAGGATCCTGCCTGCCTGAGGAAGATCACCAGCTCCTTGTACTTATTAGAGAAAAAGGGTATCAGGGAGAAGCTGTGACAAGTTTTCTGTATTTGCTTCTGCTCTGGGGGCCTCAAAGCCCCCGTTTAACTGCTGATTAGCCAATAAGTCCACTCCTTATAGTGCCTGCAGGTGGGGAGGTATTTGTTATCCCTTATCACCCGAAATGGTTATACTTTAAAGCAATCAGTAGCTACCTAGAATCTGTAAGTTATTATATAAGTTATTATATACAGTCATGTACCATATAACATTTCAGTCAACAACACAGTGCATATATGATGGTGGTCCCATAAGATTATAGTACTGTATTTTCACTGTCCCATTCTATGATTAGAATTACCTACAGTATTCAGCACAGTAACGTGCTGTACAGGTTAGTAGCCTGGAGCGACAGGCTATACCATCTTGGTTTGTATAAGTACTCTATGATCTCACAGTGATGAAATCGCCTAACAGCATGATTTGCTAATGCCTGCCCAGATGTTGTAGGGGTGACATGACATAATGTCCAGAGTGGCTCAGAGCCCTTCACAAACATGGGTGCCCTCCACTGTTGACTCTCCCTCACATGCTCACTCCCTTAGAACCCCGAGGAGCCACACGCAGCTGGGCCATTGGACAATGCCTCTCTGACTACTTGACCTTGCCATCTCCTGACACTCTTGATTATTTTCAGAGTATGGAGGAAAGTGGAAAATGCTTCATTACTTTGCTCAGAATTTCTTTGCTCCACTGTTACCAGTAGGCTTTGAGAATGAAAACACGTTCTATATCTATGGTGTGTCAGATCTTCACTCGGACTATTCGATGACACTCACTGTAAGTTACTTGTATTGTTTTCTAAGATCGAAGGGGCGTTTTAGATGATTTCTTTAGTTGTTTGGTTACATTCTTTTGGGAAAATAAAAGAGAAGTTAATTGAGAGTCAGAATACATATATTTTAGGCTAAAACCCTGCCATTTATGATGTGACCATAAGCAAAACCCTTCACATCTTGGTGATTCAATTTCTTCCTCTGTAAAATGATACGAGTCTATCTTCTTATGGGGTTTCTATGAGTAGCAAATAAAATAACTAGATGAAAGCAAATCACATATGCTATAAAGTGCCCCTCAAATGCAAGGTTATTTATAATTATGAGAGGCTGGAAACAGTCCAAACTTTATAAAAAGAAATGCTTAAAAATGGCATGTTACAGTGAAAAATCAGTAAAGCTATTCAGAATGGGCATGTGGAAAGCAAATTTGTATTTAAAAAACAAATTTCAGTAAAAAGAAAGGCTAGAAACTCAAAGTCTTAGGTGGCTATAGTTTAGAGGACACTAATAACACTGAAAATAGGTCACATTTACAGAAAAATCACAACACACCAGGTACTGTGCCTTCCATGGATTATTTTTTAAATTCTCACAAGAGTCTGTGACATTACTGCTGTTATTTTCATTCTACATATGAAGAAATGAAGACTGAGAAAGTCATATAGCTAGCATTTTGCAGGACTTGGATTAACACTCAGGTTTCATAGTCTCTTAACCATTTCTGCTACCCTGACTTGCAGCAATTATTACTACTATTGTTCCTTAAAAACTCAGCAACCAAGAATGCCTGTTTTTATTCTGTTTTATTTCTCCCCAGGTGAGAGTCCATACGTGGAGCTCCCTGGAGCCCGTGTGCTCCTGTGTGACTGAACATTTGGTGATGAAAGGAGGAGAGGCTGTCCGCCTCTATGAGGAGCCAGTGTCTGAATTGCTGAGGAGATGTGGGAATTGCACACGGGAAAGCTGTGTGGTTTCCTTTTACCTTTCAGCGGACCATGAACTCCTGAGCCCGACCAACTACCACTTCCTGTCCTCACTGAAGGAGGCTGTTGGGCTCTGCAAGGCGCAGATCGCTGTAAGCACAGGTCATGGCGGAGGGCAGGGAACTGTGGCCTTGTGGGGCTCTCCTGCTCTTGGGCCAGCTCCTTGCATCCTGAGATTTGCATGTCTCCCCCTTGATGCTGGGTTTCTCTGAGGCCTGGGGGAAGATTGGCCTCTTCCCACTAAAAGCAAACACCAAATGATTTCTATTTCTAATCCAGGATTTGTCAGAGTTGCTGGTGACCACCACTCATTTGTCCCATCACTCCTCCTTAGTGGGCAGGTGCAGCGAGGGAGAGGAGGCTCAAGTCATCACCACTGCCTGCATGTCTGCTAGGTTCCAGGCTCTGTTCTAGGTGCTTCACTCCCTAGTCTCTGACTTGCACCACAGCTCCAGGCATTATCATCTGCATTTTATAAGTGAGGAAGCCAGTTTAGGAGGTTAAGTGATGAGCTCGAGGTCCTGTAGCTGGGAAGCATTGGAGCCCAGCTGACGCAGTCTAATTTTAAGTAGAGTCTATTAATATTCACTCTAGTCTCTTTGATTTATTGCTTCAAAGTAGCTAAATCACCAAATCTTTTTATAATTGCCAAGATATAAAAATGGGATGATCAGGATGTGGTGTTATAAAAATTGTGCAGCTGGAGAATTTGGAAGTTGTCTAGTAGTTTGAAAACCTTTCCTTCCTTCTCCCCTACACATAGCAATTGGAAATATATGTACGTATATATGTTTTTAAATTTTGTTATCCTATCTTCTGGACACTCGGGAAATACCTTTCTAGAAAGTTATATTCTCTGTTTTTAGAAAATTTAAAATTTGTTTTACTCTTTAACTTCATAGAGAAGGATTTTCTACATTTCATTTAGAAATAATCATATAAAAACACCTAATACTTGTCTTTCATTTGAAAGAGGCCTAACAACTGCAAACATACCTTCTTTCTATAGTCACATAATAAAATCCACGTTATCGAAGAAAATGACTTACTCTTACATATTTTTTTTCCAAAAAAGAAAAAAAAAATTATGTACTAGATGAATTTGCAGTCTCTAAACTTATGATTGTGAAAACAAGATTGTTTTCTTTCCTGAGTTAGGCCTTCATTACCTTGAGATGGGAAATTGGGGTGGGAGAAAAGCAGGGCTCTTTCTTTGTTCTACCTCATTTTGATTTCAGTGAGGCTTGTCCTTCTTAAAGAGATAAAATGATAGTAATAATCATGTTAGTTAACATTTATTTCGGGGTTAATATAGACTAGGCACTTGGCTTCTTTTCTCAAGGGAGATGCCAGAAACTTGTTCTCCCCCTCTCCCTGAAGCCAGGGTACAAGCTTGAACCCCAGGCTCTGCAGTCAGACATACAGAGAGGAGATTTCCAATCCCAAGAAGATAACCAGCGTGAGCATGGCACCAGCATCTCTTTCGGCCTTGGTCTTCCAGCAGCAGAAGCTGATGCTACCCTCGCAGCTTCCTGGGCAGGCTAACATGAGCCACATGGACCTTGTTCCTGTGGCTGCTTTAGGACCTTCACTGGAACAGCTGGGCGGTGTGATCTGGGAATTTGCCATCTAAATTCAAACCTGAGTCTCTGATCCTGAAGAGCTACCCGATGCACTTTATTAAGCTTCTTTTCTGCTTCTATCAATATAGGTTTCCTTGTTTATAACTCAGAACCCTGAATGATAACATATTACACAAATATGTGAGGCTAAATTATATATAGTGAAAATGGGCCGGGCGCGGTGGCTCACGCCTGTAATCCCAGCACTTTGGGAGGCCGAAGCGGGCGGATCACGAGGTCAGGAAATTGAGACCATCCTGGCTAATACGGTGAAACCCCATCTCTATTTAAAAAATGCAAAAATTTAGCCAGGCGTGGTGGTGGGCTCCTGTAGTCCCAGCTACTTTGGAGGCTGAGGCAGGAGAATGGCATGAACCCAGAAGGCAGAGCTTGCCGTGAGCCAAGATCGCTCCACTGCACTCCAGCCTGGGTGACAGAGCCAGACTCCGTCTCAAAAAAAAAAAAAAAAAAAGGCCCTTTGAAATTCTTTATGTCACACATAACATATTATGTAAGACTGAGATGTTGCATCACAAATGCACACATTAAGAAACCAGGTTGCACTCAGCTCCATGCTCACACTAAGAGACGCTTGCAAACCGCCCCCCCCCCACCTCTGGGGAGCAGCGCATCCTCACTGTGGGCATATGCTATTCGACTAATTAAGTGGAATGGAGCTGACACGATTTAAATTGCACTCTCTCTTTTTGCTGCTATTTTGTGGAATTCACACATGTAAAAAAAAAAACAATAATGGGACTTAACAATGCAATAAAAGAGAGAAGCTCTAATGGTAGAGCTTTTGTAAATTTCTGGCAATGGGCTTTCTAGATTTCTGGATCTTTTCAGAAGACTCGAATGTAAGCTCCACAGTTGGGCTCTGTAGCTAGGTCCAGATATATCCTTAGAAAGTCATTAAAACCACCCAGGCTGTATGTAAAAATGTTGCTCTCTTGATGATACGCTGAGAAAAACTGTAAAAGATGTAGAGCTTTGAGCTTCTTGTGAAATATTCTCCTTAATGATTGGAGACAATGTATTTCCTTGGTTTGTGATTATAATTTGGTAACTTTCCATAGCCTATAGTCATTTTCCATGTATTGTTATGTGTTTGAAACTGCACTGTAGCAGTTGTAGAACCAAAGTTGTGGGCAATGCACTCCTTATTAGGCCCACATAAATGTTTGCAGGAAATTATACAGACTGTATCACTCTTCCCTCATCCTTCACTTGATTCATTTTTTTTTTTTCTTTTTCAGGCCATCATCTCTCAGCAAGGTGACATATTTGTTTTTTATCTGGAGACCTCAGCTGTCGCTCCCTTTGTCTGGTTGGATGTAGGCAGCATCCCAGGGAGATTTAGTGACAACGGTTTCCTCATGACTGAGAAGACACGAACTATATTATTTTACCCTTGGGAGCCCACCAGCAAGAGTGAGTTGGAGCAATCTTTTCATGTAACCTCCCTAACAGATATTTACTAAAGGAATCTAGGTTGTATTTTCAGTGGACAATGGGAATAAAGCATTTCTAAAGCACTGGCTGGAGAGGAAGGCAACAGAGACAAGGAGAGAAGCCAAGGGACATGTCTGTGTGCCGCCACCCATCTGAGCGATTGCTCTGCGAAGAGTTGTACACTGAACACTTTCAGGGCAGCCTGTTTTCCCAGGCAATGTCCTGAAACAAGCCTGTGCCGGGGTGTCCTGGAATCTCTGCCAGGACTGTGTTTTTAGCCCTTCACCTTTCAGCTTTAGCAGGACCTGAACCAGTTATAACAAGATGGCCCTGCAGCTGGTTACAAGAATGTGACATGGCAGGATCTATAGAACCAAACAGAAGGTTTTAAGGTGATGTAGGTCTTTCATAGTTAGCTTTGGGGAATACTGAATACACAAATGAAGTGCTTTGTTATTATTTCAGAGGGAATGGCGATTGAAATGCTACAACAGAGATTTCTTGGTGGTAGCCATATTGATAGACAATTTAGGAGGTTTATTGGTTTATTGTTGCTATTTGATTACTGTTTGGGGTAGGACACTTTTTTCTTTTATGGGTTTTGTTGTAAGATATTGTTTTAACAACAACTTCTTTTTTTAAAGGCTGTTAGAGTGATCTTCCTTTGAAAAATGTGCTCACATGGAAATGAATGCCACTGAGATCACTGGAAATTTCTAGGGGTTCTGACATTGGTCATCACCCATGTGGGCTTTAGACTTGGCTAAATCCAATATGCTTTCCAATGCAAAGCCTGCGAATTGGATTTAAACTTGTTGGCCCTGGCAGCAAAATGGTATTCCTTTTAGCCTTTTTATTTTTATTGACTAATTATAAATTGCTATAGAATTGTCTTATTATACATTATTCTGTTTATAAAATTACATTGATGATAAAGCAAATGAGGCAAAATGTTAATGAGTAGCTATTTGGGTAAAGGTATATGGGTATTTTTCTGTGCGTGTGAAATTATATGAAAATAAAAGTTACATAAATTACATTGACAACTTGATATTTCATCTGTGGCTTATTTAACCATTCTATAAATATTCAATTTTGCCCAATACTGTGCTGGGCCCTAATTTCCATTTAGCTGTAGTTATTATTCTGCTTGGTAAACTGGGTGAGTTTGAAGAATCTAAACTAAGACATGTGAAAGGTCTTCTCTGGACACAGTCACGTAATTGGTTATAGAACGGACCAGCAAGGAGTGTTTGGCTTTAAAACTAAGATATTATTAGTGGTTTTGGTTGAAAAATGAGAAGCATTATGTTCAGTGACTCTAAAAGTAGCTACAGACAATCCAGTCTTCTCCTTCAGTATCTAAGAGTATCTTTGTTTTATATGTTCTCACACACACACACACACACACACACACACACACACACACAGCCTTATCGAGGGGACTAGGACTTAGGGCTGGGACTCCATAGAGTCTTACTTGATAAATATTATATCATGTTCTTATGACTCTTGCAAATCCCGTTTTAGCAAAGCGTTGCTGCGGGCGGGGAGGTCTGCTCTTCTTCACACCTGTTCGTGTTCTGCCAGGAGCCCTGAGAAAGGGCTTTCAAGCTGATGGGCCAGAGTATACTTTGTAGTTCGCCCTTCCTAGTTCTATAACCTGAATCAAGTTATTTAACTTCCTGTGCTCAGTTTTCTTGTGGCTAAATGGGAGTGGTAACACCCACCTTGTAAGTTTGTTTTGAAGAATAAATAAAATAATTTAGCTCAAGGACTGGGCCCCACATTGGCACATAGTGACGCTCTGTAATGGAAGCACCATCCTGGGCCTCAGCTTGGTGTCCTGCAGAGCGTGAGGCTTCCAGTCACAGTCTCTAGATTCAAATCCAGGTTCTGAAGCTTCTGACTGTGTGACCTTGGGCAACAATTCAACCTTTTGAACTGTAGTTTCCACCTCTGTAAAATGGAGCTAATGATCCCTCACCTTCAAAGGTAGTTGTGAGGCCTTAACAAATAGGGTCTGTAACAAATTAAAATGCTAAGTATATGGTGATTGTACTTTTTAACATCACATTCATTATCACCCAGTTAGTACAGAAAGCAATAGTAAAAATCAAGTGAAGAGAGGCAAATGGTAAGTTCTTACAGCAAATTCTTTCTGAAAATAATACCAGAAAAGAATAATTTGTAAGGGAAGAATAAATTAAAGGACATAAATATATGCTGACACCAGCTTCTAAAAGAAAAGAAATGTGCCATATACGTATTATTCCCATTAAGGAATAGTAATAGCCCAAACATTCTTCCACAGTTCATGTGTGGCAGTACAGTTAGCCATTTTTTACTTTTTTCATGGATATATCTCACCATGCAGGAATACAGTCTGATGCACTTACTCTTGGCTTTGAGATTCTGATAGGGTTTTTCTGTTAGTGGTTGTATTCGTCCATTCTGGCATTGCTGTACCTGAGACTGGGCAATTTATAAGGAAACGAGGTTTAATTGGCTCACAGTTCTGCAGGTCATACAGGAAGCATCGCACCGGGCATCTGCTTGGCTTCTGATGAAGCCTTGGAAGTTTACAATCAGGGCAGAAGGTGAAGCAGGGACAAGCATGTCATATGGCGAAAGCAGAAGCAAGTGAGAGAGAGTGGGTGGGAGGTGCCACACACTTTTAAACCACCAGATCGCCTGTGAACTCAGAGCGAGAGCTCATTTATCACCAAGGGGATCTGTGCCTATGATCCAGACACCTTTCAGCAGGCCCCGCTTTCAACACTGGGGATTACATTTCAACATAACATTTGGGTGGGGACATATATCTAAACCATATCCTTAGCTGTGCGAATAATAGGATAAAAAGACCAGAACCAGGTCCTACTGTCATGCTCTTGCAAAGCACATTCCAGAGAGAGTGGGGTGAAGAGAGATCAGTTCCCAGGATTCTATCTTCCCATTTCAGAACAGAGAGAACAATAAAAATCATAATTTTCTCATTCACATTCATGATAACTCTTCTTATTCTCTCTTTCTTGTTTTCCTTACTTGACTTTTGAATGTGAGACATTTTCAAACCATGAGAAGTCACTTGGAAAATAAATTGAAAGATTTTGTTCTCTGTTGGAATGAAGGTGAACTAGAGTGCAGAAGAAATAAAGATATGTTTCCCTAACGTTCCTAAAGTGACAAAGACCTGAGATAGAAAGAATATTCTCTTGGGCTACCTCTGGCTCTCAGATATGAAACTTATTTTCCAGCTTGGTAAGATTTAGGGAGAAAAGCAGGTAGGTATTGTCTGTGTGAGAAATTCAAAGCATTTGAAAACATCCCCAGTCTGGCTTGACTGAATGCAATCTTATTAATTCAATAAGCACATGCAATTAAAAGGGTTATGCAGAAAAGACAGTTATATTTCCAAGTGAATGGGAGAAATCTTGTTTTCTAATTGATTTATTAGAGGCATGAACCAGAGTAGCATACAAACCTTAAAATCACTGGCAAAACAGGTGTTTAGACAGGTTTATATTCTGCCCCTAGACACTGTTTAACTTAAGGATTTATTCATTCATTTATCAAGCATGTATTGCAGGCCACTCTGAGCAGGCGTTGTCCTTGTCACTGGGCGTATGGCAATGAAAAAGGCAGATAAGTCCTAGTTCTCATGGACCATCTATTGTAGGGGAAAGAGTCACTAAGCCAGTGAACGAGGCAATTCCAGCTGGTGATGAGTCCTTAAGGTTAATGTGACGGCGACAGGGGAGCAACATTAGATAAGGCACCATCTTGTTCGATACTTTAGGGAAGCTTTTTGGAAAGTTTATGGTAAAAAGTAAGTGAAAAAATTTCAGTTGAGAAATGAGTCTTTAAAAACCTTTGTTGTAATTAATACATAAGGAAAGAAAAGCACAAAATCAGCCGGTTAGCTAGTTGGGGCTCTGAGTCTGTGGTCCACAAGCTGGGGGTGAACTAACCTGCCAAGACATCTTTAAGTCCTTGAATGGGGCCAGTGAATGAGCTTAGCAAAGAGAAGAGCAATGCATCACTCTTTCATGTTTTATACATATCTCTCCTTATTTCTGTAGACACGGGTTACCGAATCTTGCCGTGAAAGAAAAGTTTGCTCAACCCCTTAGGTTGGTCTCTGTCTTTACACAAAATGTATTGAGCTCCCCCGTGTGCCACATCATGCTATGCAGTGATCAAGTACACATGATTATAACAACACCTAAGTTACCTACAACTCTCAGGAAATGAGACATTCTGGCTCACGAGCATTTCTGTTTGGGAGCTAGCACTCATCCCTGCCTCATCATTTAGGTGGGAACAACCCTCTTGTTCTGATTCTGTTCCTGTTACATTTTGTTGGTTTTGTGAAATTTACTGGTCCACTGCCAGTCGTCGGAGCAGACACTGTTGGCTGGCCACCTCACAGCCAGATCCTCCTCCTCTCTGCTAATAGAGGTGGCCGTGTCCAGCCTCAGAGACTGAATCATAATTTGTTATTTCTAATCCTAGTCCCCTTTGCCAGTGATTGAGGTAGGGTTAGGCCCATGACACATTTCAAGAATGAATCATAAGTTGATGTCTAATGTGGGGTTTCTGGGGGAAGGTTTCCCTGCCTGATAAGAGATAGACCTGAGGTGAAACTCTCTGCCGTTGGGTAAAATTGAGAAGTTTCTTGAGGACCTGGAACACTTGGAGCTGCTGCAGCCTCTTTTTGGTGACCTTAAAGAAACATTTTTGACGCGGGGTGTCAGAGATGTTTAGCTGCTAAATTAACCCTGCAACCTTCTAACTTTGGTCTTATTATAACATGGTAAAAAATAAAGGCTTAATTGTTTAATCTTGGAGTCAGGTGTTCTGATTTTACAACTCGAAGCATCCTAATTGATACAGCAGTTAAAGGTGTGGGCTTTGAAATCAGACTGACTCGTGTTTCAGTCCCAGATCCACCAGTAGTAGGCTGTTCTTCACTGGATACAGGCTACTGAGCTTTTCTGTGCCTTAGTTTCTTTAAACACAGGAATAATAACAGTATCTGCCTCATAGGTAAATTGTGAGGTGTAAAGGAGATAATGCATAGACTATTGATAGCACATGATAACTATCCACCAAATGTGAGCTATTACAATTATCATTGCCTCTGTGTGAAGCCATCAGAACAAACTTAGGGAGGTGGACAGAACTGAACGTGTGCAGGCATGGGTGGTGGCTGTGAACAGCATCAGCCAGGGGAGCTGGGGGTGTCGGGGGCAGCGGTGAGCCTGGGAGAGGAGCAGGTAGGACCTGGATCCCCCCACACCCTGCCTGGTCATCCTGAAGATTTAGGTCATATTTGGCCAGCAGGTCATGGTCTAGGCTATGTTTTAAAAAGTTGAATTACATGCTAACATTTAAAAAGGGAAAGATTCCATGTAAAATATTGATATATCTATCTCTGATCTTCTTGTAATGGTAGTTTTTAAAGCCTTTATTTGTTTAACCCACTTAGAGTCAGGCATTCTCATGTTATAATTAAAAGCAGCCTCGTGGATAAAGGCATGGGTCTTTGAGGTCAAACAAATCTGGGCCTTGGAGAGGGCAATGTGGGCACCTGGGTGTCCTATTAGCTAGGGGATGCGTCACCTACTTCCTTGTGCTGGGATGCTGCTGTGGCAATGGTACCTCTAGTGAGGAAGGCTGTTGGGGACATAATTTGCCAAAGTGGGTGAAGGAAGGGCCCCTGTTCTTTTACAATGAGCTCTCAAGCCAAAGTGGGTGACTGGCATGCTTCCCTACCCATATTTTTGGTATTGGAAAGAAAAGATTTTTAACTAGTCAACTTACAAACATGAGTGAGATTTTGCCTTGTCAAAGATCCAAACTGTGTGTGCGTGCATGTGCGTGTGTAAGTGTGAAGGCTGTGTGTGGTGCAAGGGCTATGGGCTCATGCTCTGATACTGAACCTTCCAGTGCTGGCCTTGGACCAATCACTTAACCTCTAAGCCTCAGTTTCCTTATCTTGAAGGTGAGATTAATGGTAATAACTATCTCACAGTGA